CAGAAACATTACATCTGCTGAAAGATAGAATCAGTAAAACTCTTGAAGACATTGGTATAGGCAAAGACTTTATGAATAAAAGCCTGATCACACAAGAACTATCACAAAAAATCAACAATTGGGGTCTCATATTATTAAAAAGTTTTTGTACATTTAAAGAAATCACCAACAGAGTGAAAAGAAAACCCACGGATTGAGAAAAGATTTTTGCCAACTGTCACCCTGATCAAGGACTTCTATCTAGAATGTATAAAGAATTGAAAAAACCAGTCCCCTCAAATTCAAAGACTCAATCCACAAATGGGCATCTGAGGTGAACACACAATTCTCAGATGAAGAAATAGAAAGGGCAATTAAATATATGAAAAAATGCTCAACATCACTGGTCATTTGAGAGATGCAAATTAACGCTGAGACTCCATCTCACCTCAGAAAGAATTGCTGCTAAAAAGAAATCAAACAATAACAAGCATTGGAAGGGCTGTGGGGGGAAAGGAATCCTTCTCCACTGTTGGTGGGAATACAGACTGGTGCAACCACTGTGGAAATCACTGTAAAGAGTCCTCAAAAAACTAGGATGAGAGATCCCATTTGACCCAACTATTCCTCTTATAGATATTTTCTCAGAAGAATTAAAAACATTATACAACAGTGATACGTGTGCGCCCATGTTTACAACAGTACAACTACTAATAGCAAAATCTTGGAAACAACTTCAATAAATACCCATTGACTTTGGGAATAGATTTTTTTAAATGTGGTCTTTTTATACAATGGAGGATTAATCAGCCATGAAAAGGATAAATTGGAACCTCTTATAGGTAGATGGACAGAACTTGAGTCCACACTCATAAGTGAAAAATCAAACTAATATGTGTATGAATTGTATTGTCTCCCTAGTAGGAGAAGCTGAAAGAGTAAGTAAGATTTTATAATTGTATACTAACTCTGGAAATAGCATCTTGTTAGTCTTCCAAAGTTTATCTTCCTTTTCAAAGTCATTTCAATGATTTTGAGTCTTTTGGATTTGCATTCAATTTTAGAAAAGCCTGTCAATTAAAAGATCTGGACTTTTCATTAGAATTAGATTATTAGATCAGTTTCTGGAAAATCATTATCTTCAAGTGTTCCATCTTAAGATGTTTCTTGAAATCTTCAATTTCTCTGTAATATTTTCTACTTTTCTGTATTTAGGCCTCATAAATTTTGTGGTGAGTTTTACCACTATTTCATATTCTAACACTCTTGTAAATGATGTGGGGTTTTTTGGTCACCATGAAATGGAAGTACAATTGCTTTTCAATAAACTTTGTTTTATTAAAAAAGAGAACTTTTGCTTCTAAATATATAAGACCTTAGGCAACAAAATATAAAAATTTACCAAAAGTAATCAAAGAACTAAATGGGTAAAGAAACACATCTTGGTCAAAATCTAGAGGTCGTGGCTGGGGATTCAGCTCAGCTTATGAGGCAAGTGTGAAGTCGTGAGTTTGATGCCCAGTATAAAAAGAAATCTAGAAGACAATATTGTAGAGATGTTAATTATTCTCCTAGTGCTCTACAAATTCTATGTAATTCTAATAAAAAACCCATTAGGAATTTTCAGGAAACTTAAAACAGTAAATCTAAAATTTATATGAAAACTTGGAAAGGAAAAGAATTAATACCTTTTTTTAAAATTACTGAGTATTGAACCCAAGACCTCATGCATGTTAGGTAAATACTCTAACACTGAGTTACATCTCTAGCCTCCTCCTCCTCCTCCTCCTCCTCCTCCTAGTCCTTCTCTTCCTCCTCCGCCTCCTCATTTGTTTGTTGTATTGGGGGTTTAACCAGGGCCTTTGCATTGAGCTATGTTTCTGGCCCTTTTATTTTAATTTTTGAGACAGAGTCTTACTAAGTTGCCCAGGCCAGCCTCTAGCTTGTTATCTTCTTGCTCAGCCTCCTGAATAGCTAGAATTACAGGCATGTGCTACTTTGCCTGACTTCAATATACTCTTTAAGAAGGAAATGGAGTAGGTGCAGTGATGGCCCATAAGCTATCAATTCTTATTATTATGCAGCTCTGGAAGTTAATGCAGTGTGGTACAGGGATAAATAAGCTGATCCCAGTGAAACATAATAGAAAATACAGAAAGGGACCCATGCATTTATGAAACTTGACATGTGAGAGGTTTAGCATGGCAAACCACTGAAGAAACCCGGATAAGACAGATGCAAAAGCCAATGTCAGTGCATAAGATTTAAGGTTAACAGAAAAAACTTCACAACCTTTAAGATCGTTTAAGACAGGGAATGAAGGATTTTACTTTTTTTTTTTTTTTTTAACTTTTTTATCAGTACCAGGGATCAAACTCACAACCGCCTGCTTGCAAGGCAGGTGCTTATGCCACTGAGCTAAATCCTCAGCCCCTGGAATGAAGGATTTTAAAACAACAAACAGAAAAGGTTAACTACGTAAGAAAAGACTGATAAGGCCGTCGATATTAAAATTAAGAATTTTGTTCAAAAGGACAACATCAAGATATGAAAACATAAGCCCTGAATCGGGAGAGACTGCTCGCAACACACACAACTGATAAAAATTACTATCCGGTATTATGAAGAATTCCTGTCAATCAATAAAAAAAGCAGAAGAGACAGAGAGATACGAACAAAAAATGAACAAAAGACTCACAAGTAGATCAGTGGAAGAGGACATAATTCACGCAAGATGACCACCTTTATTAGTAAGTAGGAAAATACAAATTTAGATCACAACACGATACCATCTGATACGTTTGCTTGACAAAAACTAAGAATTCTGATGTTACACAGTTGGTGTGGATGTGGAATAGGGGCTTTAACACACTGTGTTGTATGAACCACACAGTCACACTGGAAAACAGCCTGGCATCTTTCATGGAGCTGAGCACTCTCTGGGATGTAGCACATTTATCCTAAGGTCCGTATCCTAGAGAAATCCCTAAGAACACTGAATCTATTCAAAGTTGCAGGAACAAACAAAACAGAAAACAAAGTAAATTCGGACAGGAGATACCGTGTGGAGACATAGATCAACATGGATGCTCTTAGAAACATACTGTATGAGGAGAAAGCAAGTCACAGGAGACTAAACACCATTTTCATAAATGGTGAAAAGCAGGCAAAACAAAATAATCTAGTTTAGAATATGAATAAAAGGTGAAAAACTACTTTAAAAGTGGATATGGACCAAAAGATAAAATAAAATAAAATTCAAGGAAAAGCACTCTAGTGGAGGGGCAGGTTGATGGCAAACACACAAGTCAGTGTGACAGTCCTGAGTATATTCCCGCTGTGGCACTGGGTGATGGGTTCATGGAGTTCTCTGTACTATCCTCCTCCATCTCTATGACATTTTCAGTCTCGACATCATGACATTTCGGGCTGCATAAATCTTTGTGGTAGGAACTGTTTTCCGCATTGCAGGATGTTGAGTGGCACCCTGGACTCTACTCATTAGATGCCAGTGGTACCCCCATTCACAGAGTCAGGACAACAGTCAGTGTCCCCTGGGGAGCTGGGCATGGCCGCACAGGCCTGTAATCCCAGCCCTGGGGAGGCTGAGGCAGGAAGATCATTGCGAGTTCAAGACCAGCCTGGGTACAAAGTGAGCTCAAGGCAGCCTGAACTGCATAGTGAGACTTTGTCTCAAAAAAGACAAAACAAAACAAAAGTCCCCTGGGGTGCCACACTGCCTTGGGTTCAGAATCACTGACCCAGGTATATGTTATATATTTTTTGAATGATTTAAATATTTATAATAAAAGTTCACAACTGAGATGGATGGACGTTTCCCTCTCTGCCTATGAAGCACAACAGGAAGAAAGCACTGAGTGGAACACGCCTAAGCCCCCAGACGCCCTTGAAATGATGGCAAAGCCAGGCAGCTGACAGTTTTAGAAGGATGTGGAGGCAGGAGCTATCTCCAGAAATGGTACTGGGTATCAGAGACTCATGATTCTAGACACACTGAAGGAAGATGTCTGCAACCTTCTTAATTCTTTGCAAAATCTAAAAGCTTAGATTAGTCTTTTAGGGGAACGTTTAATTTTTTAAAAATCTATTACTGATTTTCTAATACCTCAAAGCAGGTCCATATGTTTTATCACCTTTGAGGAGTTGGCTATGTTTGCAAAGTCCCCACACAGCCAGCTGCGGGGTCGCCGGTGACTGGGGCAGCTCCAGGAGTAAGACCCAGTAATACAACGCTGCTGCTCTAGGACGGCGACAAGTGTATCCCATTAACCCGAGAACCTTCTCAAATATGTGGCTCTCTTTGATGCACCTATCTGGTTATTATACTTCCTCTAATGTCCCATCTATCCCCTGATGGGGAGAGTTTATTACACTCATTTTTAAAATGGAGAAACATGATCATAAAGAGGATACGTGTGTGTGTGTGTGTGTGTGTGTGTGTGTGTGTGTGTGTAGCTGGGGATTGGACCCAGGGCTTCACGCGTGCCAGGCAAGTGGTCTACCAGTAATTCAGCTACATGTCGAGCCCCATGACTTTTCTCAAGATCACAGAATCTAGATAATCGATTAAAATAGAACTGGTACAAAAGCAAGTCTCCTGAGTCTTGGTCTTTGTGCTGTGTTTAGGCGCATGTAGGTGTGTGTGCGGTGTACACGCATCATGTCTGTGGCTTGGGAGAATGTGTGTGTTGTCTGACGAGAAGGTGTCAGGGAGAAAAAAAAAGGCAAAGCGCTGAAGTGAGGAGCCAGGAAACGGGCACAGTAGAAAGAGAGCTGGATGCAGAGATGCCTTGGGCAGGATCGCTCTGGAACTCAGTTTTTTACCTGTAAAAACTCATAGAATAAAGTCGAAAATCAAATCAGATGTGCATTTGGAGCAAATTATGTTTCTATATATAGATATGAGTGATCATTCTTATTATTAAAATCTGGTAGGATAATAAGCAACCCCTGTAGGTGGGATGGCTCATGGCCTTCACTTTCTTGGCACTAGCTCTTACCATATGTCCAGCTCAGAGGAATATTCAGTGGCTCCCAGCAAAGCATCCGGGGGCCGGTACCAGAGGGTCACAACTTCTGCAGAGTATGTCTGGCTGGGAATGGACTTGGCCCGAGCAAGACCTGTCCAAAAGGGAAAAGCATAGAGGCATCGTCTGAGGCCTTCCTGGAAGATACAGGGGTGTACTTTACCAGGCAGTACACAAATGGCAGGTCAACAACATCTAAAAAATCTTACATCTCAAAAATATTGGGTGCTGTCGGCAGAACCACCCGATTACCTTAACCCTGTGCATCATCTCATCAAGAGGATTTCTCAGCTTTTTACCTACTTCAGAGCCACATGTGGCCTTCCTGGGTCTAACTGTGGGTAAGGGACTAAGTTTTTGCTGGACAATATGAACAGGTAAAATGTGGCCTTCTAGGTCACGCATTCATGGAGGAGCCAAGGATTCTGCTTCCCTGTGCCATGTTCCCTGAGCTGTGATGAACAGGAAGGGGCAGCCGTCTTGAAATACATAATTAGGAAACTATCTTGGGCACCATGATGGATGAAGCCTATCCCAAGATGCCAGCTCTGACTGTTTGGGTCAGAATTGGCATGGCAGAAAATGTTCAGTTTCCGGTGTGTTACACCTCTGTAAGCAGGGGTGTCTGAAAAGCAACCGAGCAAACTCAGTGCAGGACTAACATGTGTGTGCTCCAGTTGTGCAATTCAGGAATCCCTGGTGCAGTAAATAAAGGGTGCTGGTCCAAATCAGCGTGGTAGGTTCTGAGATGATTCTCTCCAGTCCTCTGCTGCAAAGTGACTGTGATTTGTCAGCTAGCTGCTTATCTTGCAGAGTCACAGGATTGACAGTTGGGAAAAACCATCACAGATGAGTTCGCTGCTGTGCAGAATTGGTAAATGAGTGCCTGCTATGATCTCAGCATAAAGTCCGGGAGCTACAGAACCCCATTTGGCATGTGCCAAACAGGAAAGTCGTTCTTTAACTCTTACAGAACCAGGGTGCCAACAAGCATTTGTTGAATACCTACTATGCTATCAGGAACCTACTATGAAGTCAGGAACTAAAATATATGTGTGTGTATTCACATAGATGCACACACACATATATATGTATATATATTATGTGTATATATATCCTGTATATGTTTGTGCATGCATGGACGATGAAACGTGTTTGCATGTGAATGCAATTATAAACTGTGATAAATGCTGAAAGGGAAAAACAAAGTCTACGTTCCTTTCATGGGAATACAGTTACATTTACACACTTAGATAAGCAAGAACAAGTGTGTATTCGTATAGTGTCTGTGCTGTAGTCTGGGATGGGGTAATCTGTTTATCCTGCCATCTGGAATAACCTTGGTTTGTTTTTGTTTTGTTCCAGGCTGGCCTGGAACTCAGTGATTCTCCTGCCTCAACCTCCCAAGTACTGGCATTACAGGTGTGCACTATGCTCCTGGCTAGAATAACTTTAATTGATTCTGACAGAACTTGTAATATCTGCTCAGATGCAGGGAAATCTGCAGTCTACAAACATCTATCAAAAATCGCACAGGGGCAGTGTGTGGAGGGTAAGTTTTGGGCACATGGCTAGACTGGGCGTCAGGGGATCCCAAGCAGCGACCACATCCTCCCTTTCTTGCCCCACATTTCCTGCAGGGCTGTCTGATGCCCTCACAAAGCGTCACGTTTCTGGCGCCAGTTTTCAGAGGCCAGGCCTGGTCAACGCTTCACACAAAAGCAGCATTGTTACAGCCTTGACGGAGATGCAGGAGGCCACTTACCGAAATCGGCCAGCTTGAGCTCTCCCTGGTGACTGAGGAGCAAGTTCTGAGGTTTCAGGTCCCTGTGGAGAACATGCTGCTGGTGGATGTACGCCAGGCCCCGCAAAAGTTGAAACATGAAAAGCTGGAAGGGACAAATATCATGCGAAGGACATTTAAGCCACTAAGCGCTTATTTTGCCTCTAAATCAAAAATGGTCATCTGAAAGAATGTAGTGAAAGTGTGTCTTAAGAGACCAAAAAACAAACAAACAAACAAAAAGATTTTACATGCAGTTAGAAGGAGAGGAAAAAAAGACAAGGAAAATTAAGAAACTAGATTACATCCTAAACCAAAGGATTCGGGCTTTTCCTGACATCTCCTTTCTTTGATACTGAAGGAATTGCCCTTCTTTGAACGTCTAAAGGGAAATGTCGAAGTTTCCCTTGGAGCACTAGTTATTGATTTAGATGTGAAAAATATTTTCCCCACCAATGAACTTGGCATATAAGATCAAAGGTGACCTGGAAATGATATTCTAAAGTTTACAACTGTTTGAGTTTCCCAGGCTCGCAGATATGAAATCCTTTTAAAATCATAGTACGAGGAAACACAACTGGGAAATACATCCTTGGGTAGTATTAGGAAATAAAGAAATTACTACCTTTTAAAATTTATTTTTAAAGTCTTAAATTCTAAATTGAAAACATGGGAAATACACAGTACAGGCTAAGAGGGAAGAAAGATCAAATGAAAGTAGCTCTGCCTCCCCCAAAACTCCAGAAGAGAATAAGAATAAACAGCAGGGAGAAGAAAGGAGAAACAGTGGTGGTGGTGGTGGAAAGGAGCAAAGAGAAACACATTCTGACCCCCAATTTTGAAGTGCATGCAGCTACGAAACACAGAAACTAAAGACTTTCATCTAGGTTCTTACCAATATAGAAAAGCTTGAGAGGAAAAAAGTGCTTAATATTCTAAATGTAATTCACTCCTTTCCAGCGCTGCTGGCATCAGAGAATTCAGACACCAGCATTGGTGCTCACACCACACTCTGCAGCTCGAGACCACGATTTGGCCGCTCAGAAATGAAGGGTGAGGCCCAGTGTTCCTGGGGATCCAGGCAAAGTGTCAGAGCGGAGCTGCGGGGCTGAAGCGGCTTTGTCCTGACATCGTGTAAACTGGGAACTCCAGAGCTGCTGGGACCAGTGCAGACCTCACAAGGACAGGAAGACCGGAGTCCAGGCAACGGGCAGCAATGTGCGGCCCATGCAGGACCCGGAGGGCCTCACCTAGTGTGCACCAGGACGTGCTGGGCTGAGTCCATGCAGTGACCACGGCGGCTTCATGGCCATTGGAGCACATGTGTGTGTGCACACATGTGCTTATGTATGTACCCATGCATGAGTGTACATGCATGTGCACGTGTCTGCATGCACGTGTGTGTGTGTGCTGGGGGTCAGCCCCAGGTCTTTCAGCACGTGAAGCAAGCACTCTGCTGCTGAGCTGTGTTCCTCCATCAAATGTTTTCCAGCCCTGAGTCTTCCTAAAACTTATTACTCTTTTTGGTGCTTTAGCACACACATTGTCCATTTTATCACTCACCAAACCACTAAGCTACCAAAACACAAATTCCTATGCGTTTACACTTCCCAGTTAGTCATAAATATAAACGTTCACAGAAAAGCAGTATAAAGACCAATTTTAATTCCAGCAACACACAGCATAGTGCAGTATGTGCTTGAAATGGTTTTCAAAGAGGGGAGAGGGGCTGAGGCAGCGAGGGACAGCACAGAGATGATGCTGGTCACTCAGGGGTGTAGTCTTCAGATGGTGGCTTGTCCTCGATTTACAGATTTGAAAATCAGGGCTCACGGGAACTTTAGAAATGTGTCTAGGAAGGGTGGAGGCTCAGGCCTACAGCCCCAGCACTCTGGGAGGCTCAAATTTGTACCTGTTTGATTTCACTACACTCTGCTGAGAATCAAGAAAAGACAGAGAATTTCAGGCGGAAGGAAGCTGGCTGGATCAGGGACACAGCTCCCGGGCGGTCGGCCTGAGAGGCCCTTCACACATCAGGTACACCTCCTCTGCTCACCGGTCCTCTGCTCACCCTGTCCTCTACCCACAGATGACTGTGAGCATCCGTGAGAGGCACAGTCTGTCGGCTCACCTCGCACCCACCCGCTCTTTCATCCCAGCAACCAGAATCTTCCTTCAACAATTACTCCATCAAAATGGAACCAGATCCCAGGGTTTTTTCTCAGTCAGCAGCAGGCTGGGCCATGGACAACTCTTTCCAGGGTGGCTTCCCATACTCCAGGGTGGACCTATTTCTAACATAGGAGGGTTTGGTGGGGACACAACTCCACTGGGCTGGCAGCGTCACGGAAACACAACATCAGGCGGCCAGATCCAGCCAAGAGCTTGAGTCTTTCCCCTGCAGGAATCCCTGGGACTCAAAGCAACCTGATAGGATTCTCTGTTCATCTGGTCACTTCTCAAAATATAAGCCATCAAGTGTTACTTTCCTCCCACAAACCTGACTCTACGCTCTTCTGGGCATCTCCTCATGGAACCCAGGATCTGCTCCTCCATTAGGGATTGAAACCCTGGGCCTCGAGCACGCCAGGTAAGTGCTCTACCACTGAGCTACATCCCTAGCCCTTTACTGATGTTTAAAAGTGTGTTTTTGAAACAGGAAGGCCCTCCCTAAATGACCAGGCTGGCCTTAAACTTGTGATCCTCCTGCCTCGGCTCTCTCAGTAGATGGGATTACCTGGCTTTCCTGAGTCTTCTCATGTTTCACTGTCTTCTCCTCAGTCCTGCTTTCAAACTCCACAAAGACTAAACACTAGTTTATTTTTCTTGCTGTAGTACTGTGGATTGAACCCAGGACCTTGTGCATGCACGGCAAGTGCTCCACCACCGAGCCACACCCCCAGCCTGCCCTGATGGGTTTCCTTCAGGCTCCTTTTCCTTGAATGAGATGTGAGCTCTCTGCTTCTCCACAGCATTCTCAAGTGTGCGGGGGAGTTTTTCTGCATTCTGTTCCTAACTTTGATCCCTGAAAGGTGGGAGATGCTGCTTTCCTTTCCCAAAGCCATGTCAAAGTATTACCACCCCACTCTTAATTTTGGTCCCAAATACCTCCTCCTTGCACCCTCCTCCTGTTTATCTACTGAACTCCTGGTCACCTTCCATCATCCACCAAAGACTTGCGCATCTGGAGCACAGCCAAGGCCTCATCAGCGCTGGTGAGAGGGAATCGAGGCCACCTCCTTGGCGTTCAGGACCTGCGGCTCCCACTCCCTGAAGCCACGAGCTGTCATGGTCACATGCTGCATCATCTTGCTGTCCTAAGGAGGTGTTTGTCTCTGAGTGTGAAAGCCGTCTCCTTATGAGAAGGCCGCTGTGACGATCACCTCATTCATAAACGGTTTTACAGCAGTCACCAAGTCCTTTTGCTGTGCGGCCCAGCAGCTACCCCTTGTGCCTCATCTTTGCAGCACTGGGCACTGCGGACCGAGTTTCCTTTCCTAAGGGCTCTCCCTTTCCTCCCTCGCCTCCTCACCCCTGCCCTCGTGATTCCACAGCCCCTTAATGTTAGTGCTGACCTTCCGGCTGTTCTTTCCACAGGTCCCACTTTCATAGGTTCTTCTGCTGTGGAACGTATTGCCGTGCCTTAGGACTACTCTCTTGACCTTCCTTGCCAGTCTCCTACACGGGCTCCCTTGGCATCTCACCTCCTGGCACAGCTTCAGGGAACCATTTTCGTCTGATCATTTCAATATCTTTTTCTCTGACTCAGATCTCTTTTCCAACTGTTAGACCTATATGGTCTAAAATTTCACCTAGACATCCAGTAATCACCTGACTCAGCATATCCAAAATATCATTCACTATATAACTTCAAAATCCACCCTATTCCTGTTCCTCTATCTCAACAAATGGCACCACCATCCATCTTTTAAAAATCCATAAAGGCCAAGGGTAAGTGTGGTATGGATAAAAAAACAGATTCAAAGAAATCAATGGGGAAAAAAAAGCCAAAGGTGATGTCACACACTTGTAATCCCAGCACTCAAGAAGCTGAGGCAGGAGGATCGTCATGAATTCGAGGCCAATTTGGGCTCCATCGTGAGTTCAAGTCCAGACTGAACTACATAGTGAGAGCCTGTCTCCAACACACACACACACAAACACCCTAAAAGTTCCTGTTGATTCTGCCTTTACCCGTCAATTTTGGCTCAGTAATCGATCACACATCAGTCTGCTTTCCATCAATCTCACATCCATACCACTGCTGCCGTGATCACCTCAGTGTCAACACTGGAACCTTCTGGACACCATCGCTGAGGGATGAGTGGAGAAGTCCATTTGCTATGTGAGGGGGTGTGCCCTTTCTATGAAAGGGGAATAAGAAGAATATTGGGCCAAGAAAATCCAATATTTCAGAAAAAAGAGCGGGTTTTCCTCCTTTTAATACACGCACAACATTGTTACCAGGGTGAGCATCACAGAAGAGAAAATCTTCTTTGGTAGGCCCTTTAATGGTCTCTGTGTGAAGATGGCTCTCTGTGCCCGAGCCCACCGCTCAACGCTCCAGCCTCACTCCTCCCCGCTCACACACCTACGGTTACACACGTTGCTGTCCTTGACTGCAAACCCTGCCTGCCAGGTGCCTCCGGGCTGCCCCGCTTGCATTCCCTCCCGAGCACGGGCTCCGTCTCGTCTCAGACGCTGCTCTTCTGCCTTCAGGGTCCATCTCAGGCGGCTGGACCTGTCCGAAGCAGCGCTCTCCTCTCTTCTCTCCAGTGTCAGCCTCTTATTTTGTCAGTAGAGCTGGAATCTTCCTGGTGACTCCAAATCAGCTGTGTGCAGTCTCACCCTGCTCTCCATGCTCAGCCATGAAGCCTGATTGCCTTCTTAAGTGTTGCTCACACTTCTTTCCATGTTTTGTGTTTGTAATACGAGGATCATCCAACCTCGGGGAGGTCTGCCACTGAGCTGTATCTCCAGTTCTTCTATAGTTTTGTTTGCGACAGTCTTGCTAAGTCGCAAGTCCCGGGTGCCTGGGATTACACGCACTGCCACTCCCGGCTCCTCTCCTTCCTTACCACCACTACCACAAATTAAGCCTTGTGACTTCTTGCACTCCTCCTACTCCAAGTGCGCTTGTGCACCAAGCGTCGGCATCACCTTGGATCTTGCAGAAACGCAGCAGCTCCGGTTTCACCCTGGACTTACTGAATGGGATTCCGTGGTCACTTGGTCCCTGACACTTGGGAAGCACAAGCCTGGACGGCATCACTGCAGTCCTCACTGGGATCCTGACTGCAGGCTCTCCATTTCTTCAGCCTTTTCCACAGACCACAGTTACTTACCTTTTCTTTGTGTCATTCTCTCTCAACTCGAACTCTTATAGTAACTATATTGTCTCAGGAATAAAGTCCATAATTCCTATAAAGAGGCTCTCAGCCACCTTCCCAATCTGCTTCCTCAGACTGTCCATGAATATTCCCTATATTTCAGGACAACAGAACCAGAAGCACAGTATGGCATTAGTGGAAAGAATCTTAACCAGGAGTCACATTTTAAAACAGTAAAACCTGGTTTCGCAACCTCCGGCAAAATACTTTTCTTCTCAGATCTTGGGTTCCTCTTCTGCACATAAGAATGTCAGACCAGCTCTGTGTTTTTAAAACATTGCTGACTGTACTTCATAGAAACACTGTATGGTCAGTGTTCACACCCAACAGAAATATGAGCACAGTTACAACTGGGGTAAAAGTTGCACAAGATATTACTTGCTGTAAGTGTCACGTACTCCGATTTTTCTATTCTTGTCCCATCTACTTTATTTCATTTTTAAAATCCTGGCTACTGACCAATAGATTTACTAATCTGTAGATTGAAAAACAGTGATCCCTCTGTCCCTAACAGCACAGAACTCTGGGATCCTCTTGCTTCACGACTTCCTTGCCTCCCCCGCTGCCTTCGCTGAGAACACTCCCTCTCTCAAACCGTCTCCAACTCCTGGACAGTCCATCCTCTTCAAATGCAGCACAGTTTTAAAGTCTGAACCTCTTCCAACCAGAGGTGACTTTTACTTCTTCGCACATCTGCAGCACATGGTGGCGTTTCTTATGTAGCATTGTTTGCAAACGTCCTATTACAGCATTGGTGTGTCTGTTTTATTTTCTGGGTTTACAAGGAAGTCCCATGAGGGCAGGAATTGAGCCTTCGGCGTCTTTCAGTCCTTCCCAGTAGTCAGCGCAGTTGCCTTTCTTCGAGCTATTCTTCCTCCCGCTGTCCTTTTCTTTAATGGACACCCAGGGCTGCTTCCTGCTTCTTCCTGTTTTTTAGCGACCTGCCTGTCTGCGCTTCCGACCGTCTGGGTGGTCCAAATGTAAAAGCCACCGGCCAGCAGTTTCACACCGCTCACCTTTCCCCTGCACAGTGTTCTCAACTACCTCGCTGCACTGGGCTTTCTTCTCACGGGCCTGGCAAAACCCCTGTGAACCAACCCAAATGACTTTTTCCCTCTGTCCCACTACTTGAATTGTTAAGCATTACATAAAAAATCCCTGTCTTTATCCTCTGCAGCCCGTAACGCACTGATAGCCAGTCCTGCTGGGCTCCCTGGCTGGTCCTTTACTATTCTCCTCACGGCTCCTTCCATTTTTTACTTCACTTTCCACAACTCCTTGTCTTCAAACCTTTCTTTCTGAACCCTTGACTCCAAGACGAGGTTAGGTCCCCATATGGGGCGCTCCCGTGGTACTCCTAGTACCTGGTAACTCCTTGGAGCTAACTGCACCTCAGTGTATTGAAAGTAAGAAACACAAAGCATTCACTTTTGAGACCAGAACTTAAATAGCAATGCATACTAAATATTTCTTCAGTGAATGAATAAATGAATCTATAAATGAATATTAAATGAATAAATACCCCATATACAAATCTCATATGGTTATTTTAAGAGTCAATCAACTAATTAATGCCATGCAACCTTAGGGAATGAAAAGTATGACATACAAATGGTTTCTAAAATGAACAGATGTAGAAGTACAGCTAATTAATAGTTTATTGTTATTTCTGTTCTACTGATAGGAAAATGTAGTCCATATGTATAATAGGATCAGATAGAACAAGCACTGAAACTTTATCATAAAGAAGGTATAAAGAACCTATAAAGAAGGTATTAATTTTAGGATGGCCTAGCTTCTCTTCCTTTCTTTGTAATCAATGTATACTCTGAAGACACATCTGTGTGGTGACAACGACAGAGAAAACAGCTAAACATTGCCCCAGCATTAAAGGACAGCTCTTTCTTTCTTCTTTTTTGTACCAGGGTTTGAACTCACAACTTCATGCTTGCCAGGCAGGTGCTTATGCTGCTGAGCTAAATCCCTGGCTGGGGATGGGGCAGCTCTTTTTAAAAGAATTTTGCAGAATATCAGTGATATTTATTGCCTTGCTTAGAGCCACAAGATTTTGCTCTGTGGTGGAGACGGAGGAGCCCCGAGGTACTCACCCTGACATTGTGTGGATGCAGCCCTCCCGGGTGCTGGGACATGTACTGGGCCAGGTCTGTGTGCTACACCATATGCGGAAAAAGAAGACAGAGGTGAATTCAGGGGCTTGGGGACAGTGTTCTAAAGCAACAGAGGTCTGACCTCCTAGGGGCGGAGAGAGTTAGGTTGTAGACTAAGGAATGAAAGGCCCATATCCAGGTACTCTGAGGCCCCGCCATGAGGGTGAAACACAATTTGTCTTTCAACTGGCTGCTCGTAGACAGAAGCCTTTTTCTTGGCTCACTTATATGACAGGGACTGAATCCAACCCAGGGACTTTTCCCTCTCCAAGCGTTCTTGGAAGCCAGTCAGGCACACATACCTTATGGTTTCTTTCTGTTCATTTGAATATTTTTTGTTTAAAAGCTATAAAATGATCAATTCTTTGTATATAGTTTTCAAGTATCCAGTGACATATCCTTATCATCAGTGAAAACGTGCTTTATTCTGCTCAAATAGTGGTCAAAAGTAGATTGGGAAAAAATAATTCTTTTGTACAGGAGGCGATGGGGGAAAAGGAACAGCAAAAATAACAAGGAGTGGACTAAAGGAAACTACAACAACCATAAGGCACTGCTGGGCATAACCGAGACGGCCGTCCTTTCCACATCACAGTGAAAGCTTTATCATGTCATAAAATATTAACAGATTCATTGGCCAAGCTCTGGGTTCTTTCCTCCTGTGTTGTAAAACGCTGGAGAACTCACCATGTACTCGAAAACGAAGGTCAGTGTCTCTTTGGTGTGAACTATGTCGTGCAGGAGCACAATATTGGCATGTTTCAAACCCTTTAGGAGCGAAGCTGAAAAGATTAAACAAAATATTAAATCAATTACTGGTAATAAAAGTGCTGCTTTAAAACTGTCAATCGGCACCTGTGTTTCTTTTTTGAACATTTCAAATCAACACTAGTTTTTCCCGCCTGAAAATAAACCTCTTCTCAAAGAATATTAAAATAACAAAGGACTTTCATTATTTTTAAAACGGCAAATGATTGCATGATTGCATGCTGTTCTGACAAGCTAGAGTGACTGCAAAACAAAACAAAAAAATTGCTTCCATTTACCTAATCAATTTCATTAGCGCACTCCCAGCACTTTGTGCACGCTTTCCCCCGGGACCCCCTCATCTCCACCCCAGAACCCTAGGGTAGAGGTCCTGGAGAGACAAAGGCCACTGAGAAGCAGGAAACAGAGCGTCCGGCTTCTACAGGAAGACTTTGCAACGTGTTACTGGTCTCCAAAATGCAAAGCTGCACCACAGGTCCACAGCACCGTGGATATAACAGATGTAATGATGTAATGGTGTAAGGCAGGATGAGGGCTCGGGCCTGCGGGGCAGCACAGCACCTCCCTGCTCACAGTGCCTGGTTCGGAAACTGGCAATCTGAAGAACTGTCGACATGTAATAAACAGAGCTCCTGAAAGGGAAAGTTGCAAGCTTCAGTGGAAAGGAGAAAATGCAAGCTTTGAGCAAGCAGAGAACCAAACTTGGGGAGTCCAGGGAAGCGGGAGTGCTGACAACTGTCTCTTCCTGCAAACTAGACAAATACTCTTCTGAGCTCCGCTTCAGCTCCTAATAGCAGCCTTTCAAAGAGGAGAATGCACCACAAAAAGCTTGGGGTGGCCAGGAAAAGTTTTGAAAGGATGTCTTTGGGGTTCCAGAGGTAGACGAACAGCTAGCTTCAGGAGAATAGAGACCAAAAAAGCAAAACAAGGAAATGATGAGTCTGCCCAGGGCATCCTTGCCTGAGGTAGCAAGGTCTTTAAAATTTAAAGCAAAGGAAAAGTTAAGTATCAAAAACTCGAATCATGGGCTGGGGATTTAGCTCAGCGGCATAAGCGCCTGCCTTGCAAGCACACGGTCGTGAGTTCAATCCCTGGAACCGATAAAAAGAAAGGAAAAAAAACTCGAATCATGTTCTACAGCGTATGTTTGCTTGTCTACATTTCATGAATCGCCTGACCCTACTACAACAGAATTCCATAAACTCAAACACTCCCTTAAATTAGGGAAAGGAATTGTTTCCTCAGGAATCTTATCCCGTTGTAATGAGTTTCTGTTGCTTTGCCCTCTGACAGCCACTCTCTCCTCCAGGGAGGAGACTTCTGCTTCCCTCTGCAGACCGGATTATCTTAAGATTCAATCCAGGCCTTAAGGTAAGGCTGACTGCATCTCTACCCCTACCTCAGGATTTGGTTTGGGGACAGGCAAAACGCTGAGCTGATGAGGGCCCTATTTGCCGGTGCTATTGGGGAAAAGATGCTTTCTATTCCACTGTGTAGGTCGAATTCATGGAATTTGTCCGGGAACTACTGGGATTTGACTACCAACACCTGGTGGCAGCGCGCCTGGAAACGGATGAAAGCGAGGCACAGACGGGCTGTGTGTATCACCTAATGGTAAGGAGCGTGCCTACCACGCATGCAGCTATGAGTTACATCCTCAGTACTGACAGGCAAAGCAAAGGTAAGGTCCAGCCCTGAGTGATGGGTCGGGAGCTCCCAGTGACACTGGCTGTGCCCCCTGGCCTGGGTTCTCGGGTCTGGGAGCCAGGGAGTTTCCTCCTTCCTTCCACTGGTTTGAGCTGGGGACCTCTCAGCACTGCAGTTCTCTTGCCTGCTGTGCTGTTTTATTTCTTGCCCTCAGAATCCTTGTGGACTAAATTTTTATTTCGCTTTTACATGTATATTGCTTTGTCAATTCAGTGCCCAGCTTCGTAGGCCTCTGTTTCATCTCTCCAGTCTCATGCGGAGTCTTCATGGGGCTAGAGAGTGACCTCCGTTGGATTCTCTGTGGAGCCAGGCGTCCTAATAGGGAGCTTGGCTGGATGCACTTCCGTTCGAATAAGCTCTGGAGAGGATCTTAATGCAAGTCTCAGTTCAGTCATTGTGAAAAGAGGAGTCGGCTTCCATACTGCTTCACAGGGAGGATGTGAAGGCGGACTCAGAACCCGAATGCAGAACCCTGGCTGAAGGGGAGCAGCGCACAGAGGCAGAGGGAATGAATGTACAGGCACACACGCACTACAGCGCGCATCAGAGTTAGAGGGGCTAGGGTTGCAGCTCAGTGTCAGGACCTCGGGTTTGATCCCCTGCACCACTACCAAAGAGGGAAAAAAGCTAAACTTGCTAGGAGGATTTTCAGTACAACTTTGGGGGGGGGGTACCAGGGATCAAACTCATCACCGCACCCTTGCAAGGCAGGTGCTTATGCCACTGAGCTAAATCCCCAGCGCTCTGTGCAAGTCTTGTCTAACCTGATGTCATTATCAAAGCTCCTGTGCATATTTTTAAATGATGGTAACGCCCTATTGAAACAGCATGGCCTGAGCAATCACCAGCTACCTGCAAGCCTGCGGGGGCTATGTTCACTGTGGCGCACCCCACGACCGCTAGTTCCCGGCCTTTGGCTGTGCGTGGCTGCTCACATATTTGTATTATTGTTTTCTCAGGTTCACAATTCCTTTGCAGAAACATTTTTAAGCCGTTCATCCATTTCACCCTAGGGTCATCACGCAAGTACTTTGTAACTGCTCTCGACCCTCGACCCTCTGCAACGGCTCTTAGACCCTCATGCAACTTGCCAGAAATCTGTGGCTGCAGAAGTCTAGAGCCGCCGCGGTGCCCGGGGGCCAGTCCACCATCAGTGTGGGGAGCTGGGCCTGGTATCTCAGTGAAATGGGGAGCCCCAGGTCTGTCCTGCCTCCATCCTCTCAGCCACAGCCGGGCTCCGGGCCCTGGAGCCCTGCAGACACAGCTCCCCCGTCTTCCTGCCTCTTCACCGGCTCTCCCCATGCACTGGGCTCCTGCAGGGCGGTGCACAAACGTTTGTTTTGTTTTGTTTGGGGATTTTTGTTTGCTTGCTTGCTTATTGTTCTGTCCTCAGTGCCTGGAATAATGTCTGAGGATTCTGCAAACACTCAGGGAACACTTCCTGTCGTGTTCGTGTTTCCCGTTTAACTAGCATCCCTGATCTAGTGAGCTGGCAGCACTTTTCTGTTGGGGATTTCTTGCTTCTTTTAACCCCCTTCCTCGGTAGATCATGCACGTTCTGCTTCGTGGACACATCTGCTGAAACAACTTTATGGAGATGGAATCTTACTAAATTGTAGAATTTGCATGAGAAAGCAGATGCAGTTTAAAGCTTTGTCTCGTAGTGGTGCTGATAGAAGGTTTGGTCCATCTGCCAGGGCATCTAAGATGCCTGCGTCTTGGGTCTCGGCCGTGTAGAGGATAGGCCTGGCTTCTGGATTCAAGGGTGTCTCGCAGTCTTCACAGGGCATGTGAAGTTTCTTTTGTACGGATTAAAGTTTTAGGGTTACAGCTGATAAGTCAGCTAGGCCAAGAAGAAATATCCTCGCTATGAGCATTCTGATACTGGTAAAATTACTGTTTTTACAAGTCCTGTACTTCATTGCACTTATTTTTATTTTTCTTCAAAGACACCAAGATAAATAGAGGTTTTTTTTTTGTTTTTGTTTTTGTTTTTTTGTTTGTTTGTTTGTTTTAATCTGAATGGGGTTTCTTGGACTGTCTTTTGGTGGCCGGGGAGTGCTAGTAACCGTGCTGAGGGCCATGCATGGTCTACTGTCACAGCTAAGCAAGGTGAGAGTGTTGCAGGAGGTAGACTCCCCTGGGGGTCAATACAGAGGATGCAAACACGTTACAGGTTACAGCTGCGGCTGGAGGCACATCTGTGGGAGGTCAGACCTCAAGGCAAAGATGAAATGACCAGGTCTACATCCTTTCCTCACAGATAAACAATAAATTACCATCAGTCACCCCCGGAGATGACTAAACCCCCTGATTCATCTTTTCCTAAAAAGGACCTTGCTCTTTCCATGTACACCTGCTACGTGGTCTGCTTCCTCTTGGGTTAATATCACCCAAGACAATAAATTTGTAATCCTACTGGTTGACCATAGTGTTGTCCCACATTACACCTGCCTCCTGATTTTGCTCCATAAAACTTCCTCTACCAAGTGGGGTCTATGGCAACCCGTCTTTTGGGTGCCTTCGTGTCTCTCGGGAGTTCTCTCTCGAGATAGAAATAATTCCTACTCTTAATCCCATTGTTTCTTAGAATCTATCCATTTTGGGGAACACAAACTTGGTGTATTTGACATCTAATAGGTTGAAAGTCACACGTGTTCCCCCATATCACTTCCATGACTGAGCTGTACACTACTTCTAAAATAATTTTATAATGGTGATGATAATAGCAGACACTCAGAGTATTTTAAACATACAAGGCATTGTTATAAGAATTTTATATTAACTTAGTATGATCATTAAAATCCTGTGAAGTCAGAGGAAACGTGAAGAAAACAACATACTTCCAAACAACAGGAAAATGACTTGTGACTGATATTTATTTGGCTCATAAGACACCTAATAATTTAGGTATAATAATATTATGAAGAAAAATATTTAATAATTTAGAAAAATATTTTTATTTCATGACATAAAAGTATGCAACTTCTTGGTTTTGTTCATTTTGGTGGGATCTGGAGTTTGGTAAAGTTTAAAACAAGATGAGTGCTTTGCAGCTGCAATGATGCTCCTCTGCCTTTTCCTGCTTTCGCTGTGAAGCTCTGTCCCCATCCTTCCATGGCTGTGTTTATGAAGCTGTAACAACGTGTGTGTGAGTAGGCTATGTCCATGACATGATGTGACTGAGTTCAACAGCAGACTTGTCAGCCAGGGCTGCTCCAATACTTGTGGTAATGGGTGACGCCGAGGTCTTTTTGTTTTGTTTTTGTTTTTGAAGCAGAGTCTCACTATGTAGCCCAGGCTGGTCTTGAACTCATGATCCTCCCGACTCAGCCTCCTGAGTGCTGGAATTACAGGCGTATACTAGCATGTGGTCTTAGAGGTTTAATCAGATTCTTCCTTTATCTTACTGTGCAACCTCAGCAAGACTATTTTTGGCTCAGTTTTTTAAAACATATAGATTGGAAATAATTACTCTGTAATGTAATTTCAACTTTCTACTAGCAAATTGATCTTAAATATTTTTAGATGAAACTGTTTCTAATTTAAACACTGCAATTACTGGTGCTGTAGAATCAAAATTGCTGAATATACAATATTATATATTATTTTTCTTTAAAATATTCCTTCTGCTTTTTCCTTAATGTCTTTATAGAGTACATTACAAAAACAGATTTCTATTTTTACCTTTACTCTTGGTAAAGGAGAAACACACTTCCAAATTTATATAACAAAGTAGAATTTAAGAGAAAATATATATGAATCCAAATATCTACAAACTCTAACTACTAGCTCTGTGACCTCAAATAAGTTACCTAACCTTTCTGAGCTCAGGATTCCTTCTCCTTTACAAAAAAAGCAACACATTTTACTTTCTAGAGTTAGTGTAAGGGGCAAAAGAAGACCACAGAATAGTATGTCATGTGTCTGCTTCTCAAAAAGGTAAATTAAAGGATTGCTTCCTAAGGAAACTCCACTAATAGGTGAGAGGTCCTTGGTTAAACCAGAAGGTGACCGTTTTCAGAAAGATATTTAAAATAAGACACATTATTAAGATATTGATAGAATTAAAAAAAAACTAATAAACTATTCTTACATAAAACATAAAATATTGGCCTGTTCAAATGAAGGTATTTTTCTCCTACTTGTGAAAATAAGTGTTTGAAATACAATTCTGGGCCAGTTATGAGAGATTTCCTAAATTGCTATGAGACCTTCTGGTCTCTTCGGTTAGCAGAGGCATGGGGGTAGAAAGGACATGTCCACTTTGTACACTGCTGTGTGTCTAGTGGCCAGCAGAGTGATAGCCACTGTGGGTACTCAATAAATATTTGTAGAATGGATGCGTAGAAAGTCACAGCATTCTGAATCAGAGATACATGCTTTGAATGATGGCTACACAGTCGAATAATAATATATTATCTCTCAAAGGTCACTGGGTTGAAAGAGGCCAGAGGAGCACCGAACACGCTTCCCTTAGGATTCACTTCATACTGTTACATGTGAAGAGCAAAGAAAGACAAAGAGCGTCCAGATAACCTGACCAACAGCCGTCACGTGGATTCCACCTCCACAGAGACAGGACGCAGCAGGCCCTGCGGGGTCACTCTCCGCCTGCAGTGCCCCAGAGCTGCCAGGCTCTTTGGAAAACCCAACTGCTGCTCCGAGCCTTTCAGAGAAGGTGTATCCCTTGCTGGTTTTTCTGCACATGGCTTTTGCTTGCCTTTTTAGCTAGTGACCCTGGATCTTAACTAATGAACTCCAGCTGTTCTTGTTTTGCTTTGCAGTCCTTCTAATTTAACCTCCCGCGTCCCTGGCCTCTCAGCTTAGAGCTCTTACGAGGAAAATGGGACAGTGCCAAAGTTCTCAAATGAGACCTCACATCCACTTGAGGAAGAGAGGACGTTTGTAACAAGGGCTCCAACTTCCTACACTAGTGGGAAAAGAAGCATTCATTGTTAGAAACTGGAAGCCTAACAACTTCCAGTGTGTCGAGAAACCTTTTGTGGTTTTCAACATTGTACAAGCAAAGCTTTCCGAGAGGGAAGTCCATAAAACAAAGAGCTGCAGCCGCAGTTCAATACTAAGCGTAACTGTAAACGCCTGCGAGGGAGCGGCAACTCCTGGTAGAAGTGCAGTGAAAGAAACTTTCGGCACACTCAGCAACACAGATCCAGCTCTCGTACCATGCCGAGAGCCATCTGTTAGCAAAACTGGCAAAACCATCAAATGTCGACCTGAAAACTCGGTTGTGAGCAAAAGCTTCTGAGAAAAGCCAAATTTGCATTCACACAGGCTTTGGAGGATGAGGTGAACCTGAGCCCAAGTTCTTTCCCTTAGGTGGGCAACCCAGGAGCTGCGACTAGGTTCACAAATGTCTTTTCTGTATGTGGTCAACCCCTCATGGAAACCACTAATAAGAATGTCAGTCAATGCCACTTCCCTTATATTAAACACTTAAAGCCATGTGTCACCCAGAACACACCTGATCCCGCCAGAAGGAGCCCCAGCTAAGCTGATAGCCACTGGCCCTTCTACTTAATTCAAAACCATTTATTTCCCAGGGGCTCTAAAATTAGGTTAGAAACTCATTTTCTGAATTGCTTGTTTTCCACACCTATGTCTATAACCAATCCTTGCAAGCTCAGTTCAAAACTCACTGACTCCATTAGGCTCTGGAGCAAGCTTGTCCTCTTCACTGTGCACGTTTTTAATATGTTACTTGAATTATCTGCTCTATCAGGATTAAAACAACATGAAAGAAAGGTTGGGCTTTGTCTTCTTGTCCTTTGCAACATTCAGCAACCTGCTTTGCATCTAGGATGTGCTTGGTAGAGAAGGGAAAATAAAAAGTGGAAAGAGGGAGAGTAAAAGCAACACAAGGGAAATACCCTTCCTTTTTTTTTTCTCCCTGAAATGGATAGCAATCCCGACATCACTTCAAGTTAAAAAAAAAAGTGATAAGTTATGCTTTTAACAATTTATTTTCACTGTGTTGGCTTTTTGAGATTTACCATATAAATCATTCATTATCTTGATGCTCGACAAAGCGTCACCAAGGAAAACAGTAAGGAGACAACGTGCCTTCAGATCTGCTGAACTCTGAAAGTACACCCTGTAATAGACACTCATCTTGTCCTCTGTGTACTGCTTTTGCAGTGAGCTGAGTCTCCGAGGGGCGAAGTGGACTCACCGGAACCCTGCAGGTTCTGTGGTGCAGACCCGAGTCCAACCTTGCCTCCCTGCTCTGCTGCCCAGAGGAAAAGGAAACAGCACCGTGCTAGGAGTGCGCACCTGCCCCGAGTTCTTCAAGTTTTCTCAAAACAGCAAGACATTCAGGCAAACCGGGAAGAATTAATATGGTGGTTTTCTTTTTCTTTTGCATGAATTTTGAGTGTTGCAGGGACAGTTTTGGTATCCAACATGATGTCAAACACATAGAAATTATCCAGAAAATATTCACTGAGTTCATAATTTCAGTCAAGGGATATAACAGCTTTGAATCTTAATACCCTAAAGAACAAATAACAAAATAATAGTGTAAAAACTGTTGGAAAACCGGAATCAAGAAGGAGGAGGCCAAGGATTTAGTTCAGAGGCACAAGTGCCTCCCTGGCAAGTGCAAGGTCATGAGTTGGATCCCTGGTTCCAAATAAATAACAAAATTGTGCTAGGTGTGCTGGCACATGTGTGTAAACTCAACATTCAGGTGGCTGAGGCATAAGACAAGCTTGGGGCAGCATAAGATTGTCTTAAAATAAAACGAAATTTAATTTAATACTACTCAGCAAGGTGGCATATAGCTGTAATCCCAACATTCTAGGAGGCTCAGGCAGGGAGACTGAAAGTTCAAGCCCAGTCTGGGAAACTTAGTAATTTAGTGAGATCTTATCTCAAAATAAAAGATAAAAAAGAGTAGGGAACATAGTTCAGTGTGAAGGCCCTGGGTCCAAATCACAGACTACCAAAAAGAGAAAAAAAATGTACAAATACCAGAAAGCAGATGCTAAACAAATAGACCTCATGCATCTTTTCTTCCTTTGTTTCCAAGGAATCAGAACAGGTCTCCGGGTCCACCTTCCTGCTCTTACCTTCCCGGATGGCCGTGAATGGGACTCCTTCCTCCACGTTCATGCTGATGACCTTCAGAGCCACCAGCTGCCCGTTGATCCTAGAAAGGGGGCAGAGGACATGACACACATTACAGAGACAGCTCTAGGCAGAAATTTTTCGGAAGATGGCTTTTTTAAAAGGCAATTTCCTTTCAAAAAAATGTACTCCAGCACATGAATCTAAAATTTTCTCAAATATATATGTGTATATATGCTAGACAGCCAGTGTAAAATCTACGCTGCATAGACAATGACAAAGTGGTCTTCGCTGTGCTGGCGTGGCCGGTGTTCATTATAGCCCCTGTGGTGGCAGCAAGTCCAGCGAACCCACTTTCCGAGGACGTCCTCGCTGGCTGGCCGCGCTCCTCTCTTCCCTCCTGTGCACGTTGGCCAGCATTCTCCCTTTCCGTCTGGCTTCCCACTGCCGCTGCCCCAGCCTGAACTCCTTTTAGCTTCCTAGCTTCAACAGAGTAGCTGGGGGACATGTTTAGAAAAGAAAGTCAGAAAAGGTCCTTTCAAAATCCACTGCATTGGGACTGGCATGTAGTGTAGTGGCACAGCGCCGGCCTGGGAAAGGTGAGGTCCTGGGTTCGATGCCTGATCCTAAAAGAAAGCCCACTATATTTAAGAGCTGGCTACGAATATATTTAAAAGCTGGCTATGAATAACAGGCAGACCTCACAGCGCCTGTGCAGGGCTGCCCATGTCTCATTCACAGGTCTCAAGTACTGAGGACAGAGCAGACTTTCATACAGCAGGCTTCCTGTAATACTAGCAGTGACCTTCTCTTTCTCATTTAAAATTATTTTATCATTCATCCTTGTACAATGGGATATTTAATAATGATGTAATATTCTATCATATAACTATGCCACAAGGTGCTTTGGCACTTCCAAATGCTTGCAAACTGTGTCTAGCTTTTAGCTATTAGGACAATACTGCTACGATCATATTTGCAGGAAAATCTTGCACGAGCCCTGGTCATCAGCTCCTCGGGGCAGACGTGCAGTTATTAAGTTGGAGGGGCAGCAGTTACCCATCCTGCTGCGCCCTGGCGCTCACGGACCATGCACAATGGCCAGGACAGTGGATGCTGCTCTGCCTAACACTGGTCAGGGCTTCGTGTGTACTTTCAGGCTTTGCTTTTTAGAACGATTTTAGGTCTACACAAAAATTAAGAAAGCAGTATAGAAAGTTCCCATCTATCTTTCAGTATTTCCTACTGCTAAGTCTTACATTAGTGTGACACAGTTGTTGTAATTACTGAACCAATATTGCTAGCTATCATTAACTAAAACTCACAGATTATTAGGATTTCTTTAGTTTTTACTTAATATCCTGTTTATCATGTAGGGTTCAAGTCAAGGCTATCATTGGTTGTCAGATCCTCTCAGGTTCCTCATGGCTGAGATTCCCAGATTTTGCTTGGCAGTCTTGAGGAGTGTTTTATAATTTTCTATTTTTTTTTAGGAGCCTGGGATTATGAGATTGGGGAATGTAAGAAGCCCCCTTTAGCGGATCTGATTAAGGGCACACACTGTCATGGTGACGTACAGCTCTGGAAGCTGACCTTACTCACCTGTCTGCGGCGACGTTTGTCTGGTCTCTCTGTGATAAAGCTGCTTCGCCCACTTCTGTACTGCCCTCCGGCGCGAGGGTCTCTGTGCATGCCCACCGTTAAGTACTGCAGAGCTTTATGAACTCTTTCAGGGTCGGTTTTCTACACAAATTATTTGGACTTCTATTGCATGGGCAGTTTATTTGCTCCCTTTATTAATTTATTGAACTACTTATTTATTTATTGAGGCAGAGTCTCTCTTCATAGTTCAGGCTGGACTTGAGCTCACTACGTAGCCCAGGTTGGCTGTGAACTCCTGGCTATCCCCCCGCCTCTGTCTCCCAAATTCTGGGATTACAGGGTGCCACCACACCCAGCATGAGCCATTTATTTATGTTAGTATGGACTCGTAAATATTCTATTCTTCTGGTCATAATTCAATATATTATTATTATTATTATTATTATTTTGGGCTGGGGATTAAACCCAAGGGCTTCATACTCAGTTACATCCCCAGCTCTTTTTTTATTTCTAATTTTAAGAAGAGTCTGACGATGTCACTAAGTTATCCTGAGCAGGCTTGGACTGGCAATGTCCGAGTCTTAGTCTCCCGAGTGGTAGGGTTAGAGGCGTGGACCACCATGCCCCACTCAGTGCTATTCTATTTCTGACATTTTTGAGACAGGGTCTCACTATGTAACCCAGGCCAGCCTTGAACTTTCTGTGATCTTCCTGCCTCTGCCTCCTGAATGCTGGGATTAAAAGTATATGTTACCATGGCTGGCTCTTCTTTTTGAAATTTTTGCAAGTTTATCCTTATTATTCAACTGGCTTCATGTTGCTTTGCCATTCCCCTCATCAATAAGGATTTTTTGTTGCTTTTATCTTTGCACTTTGGCCTATTTGATAGATAAAAAGATAATCACATATTGATTTCAATTTTTTAAAAACTAAATTTTCCTAAGTTCATTGGTATTGTCTATTGTCTATTTGTGTTTGCCTATTTGTTCATCTTTCTATGGAAACATTTTGCATATTCTGATTTTCACCGATTGCCTTCATTTGTCTTACCTATCTTTGAAGCATGTTTGTTTATTTGACATAGTCCATAGTGTTATGCTGAGGCATAACAAACCTCCCAAACCCTGGCTCACAGGCGTGTGTCACTATGCCAGGCTGCCTCTGAGGGCTTGAACTCTAAATCTTCATGATGCTCAGTGCTTTACAGTGTTTTACTGAGATATTATGTAAAGTTCTACATCCCTACAAAAAAGTTTATTTTTGCCAAATATGTTTAGAAAATGCTTTGTTCTTAATCTTCTAAATCATTGCAGCATATGTTGATAGTTTTTAAATGCTGAAAGTCCCCCCAGGAACAATGGTACATGATGTGAGCAATTTGGGAGGCTGAGACAGGAGGATCACAAGTTTGGGACCAACCTGGACAACTTGGTGAGAACCTGTCATTTTATTTATTAATAAAAATAAAAATATAAAAGGGTTTGGGATGTAGCTCAGTGGTAGAGCACACCTAGCATGTGTGAGGCCCTGGGTTCAATTCTAAATATTCCAAAAAATATCATAAATATATATAAAATACTGAAATCTTTCTATACTAAAGAATTTGATTTTATTTTGTGCTTTCCATATCAATTTGACCATAACTGTTTCAATGAAGCATTTGTTAAGGTGCATCAGAATTGGGGCTCCCTGCACATACTTGAATAGATGAGGCCAAGCAGACCTCTGTCTTCCTTGAAGTCATACTGAGATAGAGTACTGCAGGCTAAGAGCTACATAGAGCTTGTCTTTTCTTCTAGCTAGTTTATGCTTCCCTTTACAGTTAACTTGTTAATTCACTATATTCAAATTATATATTCATTGCTTCCAAATGGCTAACAGTTATCCCAGTTCCATTTTTTGGACAATTTTTCTTCTACTGACTTGAAATGACAGTGATATTTATTAGATTTTACTAATACCTGGATTAGTAATGATTTTGGACTTTTCAAAAACCACGTTTCTTTGATCTGTCTTTCCTTTCACTTGCGCTACACAATTGTAATATCTTGGCTCAGAATTTATGGTCCACCCTTTGTATCTGTACATTCTGCCTCTGTACACAACCAACCACAACCTGAAACTACTTAGTAAAAATTGCATCTGAACTAAACATGTACTGACTTGTCTTTTCTTGTCATCATTCCCTAAACACAACAGTATAACCACTATTTACACGGCATTTACATTGTATTGGATACTATAGCATAATATAGTGTAGTAGATTCTGTACCACTTTAAACAAGGGACATCAGCGTTGCAGGATTTTGGTGCCCAACAGCGTCCTAGACCAAACCCTCAAGAATTCCAAGGGAATTCAGAATACATCAGAACTTGAAGATCAAGGCTCACTGGCATCTTTACACTAGTAAATTTTGAGTCCAAATGTTCTGTATGAAACAGTCCCTGGCATGGTCACACTGGGAGACCCTGTGTGAGCTGGGCACACACATGCCCGCCTCCCCTCAGTGCCAAGGCCAGTTCTGCCCAGGGACTGTTTACTTGCTGCCCCTCTCCTGCTCCATGCTGCCCCCACCGTCCAAGTGCCAGCTTGCTTCTGACTTCCCAGTGAGACCTCCTGTGACCATAGTCCACTCCCCTGCTCCGCCCGCCCTCCTGCTCCATTCTCTTCATTACAACAGCACTTTTCACTCTCGATAAATTCAGTGTTTTACTAATTTGCTTATCGCATATCTCACCCTGCCTTCCCTCCATAAAAGCGGAACATTCATCTCCTGTCCTCCAATGTATTGGGGTTTTTTGGTACTAGGATTCGAACTCAGGCCCTCACACTCATCAGGTAGGTGCTGCACCACTGAGCTACATCCCAGCCCTCTCTCCATAGCTTCTTATTAGCTAAAATATTGCCTTGCACATAATAAATATTGTAATAAAAATTAATTAATTTATTAGAATGAATATCTGATGCTTCAAGTCTTTTATGTTCTTCAGAAAATAGATTCTGCTCTTATTTCCTAAATAGTTATTTCTAATACATAAAGATAACTTACAAGTACACACTGATTTTGTAAGTGATCATCTTGTTACTTCATCCAGGAGTTTTTCGGATGATTCTCTTTGGTACATTATGGAACTAACACTATAATCCATAAAAGCTGGTATTCAGCATTTTCTCTTTGCATTGGCTAGAACATTTATTTATTTACTTGTTTAGTGGGGCTTGAGGACCAGGGATGCTCTACCACTGGGAGACATCCCCGGTCATTTCTGTTGTTTTATTCTGGGACAGAGTCTCACTAAATTGCCCAGGCTGGTCTTGAACCAGTGACCATCTGCCTCTACCTCCTGAGGGGCTGGGATTATAGGTGTGCACTAACACACCCAGCTAAGATAATTTTTATCAATAATGCACCATGAAGCTTCTTGCCCTATTTCAAATTTAGCAGTAATGTCTCTAGTATTTAACAAAAAAGCGTATATGCTGCTGATTTAAAATATTCTACAGCATAAATAGGGAATAGTCATTCACTCTGTTTCTATTTTATTTAGAGTCTTTTGTTTTGTTTTTAAGACAGGGTCTCACTATATAGTCTGTGTTGGCCTTGTACTCCTTAGGTAGCCCAGGCTGGCCTCAAATTCCCAACCAATCTCTTGCCTCAGCCTCCTGAATGCTCGGATTATAAATATATACCACCATGCCTGCTTAGTTAGAGTTTTTAAAACTAGAAATTGATCTTGAGATTATCAAATGCTTTTTTGGCATTTATCTTTAGGATATTTTGCAATGGATGTTTACATAATAAATAAAATGTATTTGTGGTAGAAGATAAAAAGTTTGAGAGATTGCTTCCCTGACCTAGTTTTAACTACTAGAAGTAATAAACTCTTGTCTATTTCTCCTGCCTCTTCTATGCACATACAAATCTATATTTGTACAGCATATCTGAGTGCTTTTTTCTAAAAAGGAGAAGGGGAGCCTGGGGAGTTAGCTCAGCAGCGTAAGTGCCTGCAGTGGTTGTGAGTTTGATCCCTGGTACAAAAAAACAACAGAAAAAAGGAGTGTAAAACTGTAAAAGGAGCCTAGGGAGCAAGGAATTTAAGAACAATGCTTAAAAAGCTTTGCCCACACACAAAAAATCTTTGCCTACAAATATATTTTAGGGCCATATATTTTAGCACAGTGCCATAAGCGCCTGCCTGGAAAGCATAAGGTTGTGAGTTCAATCCCTGGTACAAAAAAAAGTGTGTGTGTGTATATGTATATATATATATATATATATATATATATATATATATATGGGAGTACAGATGTTCTGTAACTTGCTTTTTTTCTTTTAAAATACTAGACATCTTTTTCATGTTAGTACATCTATTTCATACATTACATGGCTGGGTACAATTCTATGGAATTATAACTACTTACCTGGTCCTGTATCTATGGATATTTGTGACCAAGTTTTTAATGTGTTCTGTTATAAATCTTGATATATGCAATATACCTCTACTTTATTCCTTTTGCATACTTGGACAAGTATTTCTAATGCATTTTCTACCTATTACCTATTCCTTGAAGGAAATCTTATATTATTGGCTCCTAGGTTAATCTACAGACATTAGTTATATCCTGCTTCTATTCAATACATCTAAAATTGTATTTCCTTTACAATTTTGTTTTAACAAGTAAAAATAGCATGCAAACTCTAGGATGAATAGTAGTTTTTTTTGTATTTATATTACATTTTAAATATGCTCTTTTAAACCAGGTGGTGCATGCCTGTAATCCCAGCACTTGGAGGCTGAGGCAAAAACCAACCTCAGCTACCTAGTAAGCTCAAGGCCAGTCTGAACTCCATAGCAAGATCCTGTCTCAAAACAAACAACAGCTTTAACCACTATTAAGCCATTATTTTTCTCCATTAGAGTAACACAGAAAAAAGAGAATAGATTCTCCAGTCTTCCTCCTCAACTGAAACGCAGTGAGATTCACTTTTCCAAAATGGGTATTTGGCTTTTGAATAAGGAGTGTTACTAGTCTCCAGTCATCCAGTGATTTTGCGTATTTTCTAGGTGTAGGAAAGTCAGGACATGTCCTTTTTCGCATACCCCTACTTCGCAGAAACCAACCTTAGTTTCTTCTCCCAAGGCCTAGTGAAAGACTGGGGCGGCAAGCTCAACAGGCCTCTTCAGGAGCATGAGTTGCTGGCATTGGGGAGGAGAAGGGGGCCCCTCCCTCAGGCAGGGCTTTTCTTTGGGTCAACAGTAGAGAAAACCCACTTTCTTTTCATCAAATAGAAAAGAAGAAAGGCTGACAAACATTTAGTGGGCTGATCTTAGCAGGAGTAGCTTGCTTTCCCTTCAGGGCTGTTTAAGCCATGCTGGCCTCTCTTCTTGCCCTGATGTTTGCATAGGTCCCAAACTCGGAGAACTCTCATGATGCGGTGTCTGGTTTAGGATGTAACCAGGGCTGGGCCTCTCGTTTTTAAAATCTCCTGCGGCTGTAGGACACTCACCTGCTAACACCCTTGTAAACTGTAGCGTAAGAGCCTTCGCCCAGCTTCTCCAAGTGCAAGTAGGATGAGGCTGCCCCAAACGGGAGGCTCTTCCTCTGCTTAGAGGGATGGGGAGGGAGAAAGAAAGAGCACTTTTTAAAAAATCGTTAAGCTTTTTGCACCCCGGGGAACCCGGAGAGCATCGCCAGAGCACAAGTGCAATGCGCCCCCAAACCCTCATGCGCTGAATTCTCCCCCACCAACGTCAACACTCCCAGCAGCTCACTCACCCACAGAAAACCCTGCCTCGGATCCCCTTCCTGAAAAGGATCACTGTTACTCCGTGGCCTTTTACTCCTCAGCTTCCTGGCACTGACAGCCCGGAGTTCCCCCTGGGGGTGGAATGAAGTCATGGAACGGGATGCTTCTTTTAGGTCTGATAGCTGCAGAAAAAAGAAAGCATGAGAGTAAATTGTGTGCAAAGTCAAAACTCAGTGGCAAACCTATTCTTCTATTTGCCTGGTTCTCCCTTTTCTAAGCTTCCTACAACCCCCAAATTTGTGAGTCTTGAAAGTCAGATCCCTGGAAAAGACTATAGTGGTGTCACCGCTGAGATGCATCCTTCACCGGACTGTGTCTGTAACTCTTAGATGAACCTAACGCTCATTTTGCTGCCTGTTTTCCAATTTTTCTCAGTTTAATTATGACTCCCCTCCCCCAATCTACCTAACTTATTTTTTTGAGGGGGTGATTTTCTAGGATGGTATTGCCAATAATCTTGAGTTAATTATTGACATTTTGAAGCCACAGAACAGCCGATACTGCAGCTCGCCTTCGGCGGTTCAGTGTGCAATTCAGTACCTTGGAGATTTCAAGAGTAAAACCACTTTCTCCACTTCAGTTCAAGGGAGTTCTGTGCAGCTCAAAGCCAAGGATTATTTTTCTCTTTGGTTTACAAGCCATCTCCACAGTGCATAGCTATAGCCATAAATTCACCGTGACCTCAATAGAATTTTCTTTTTATGGCTTTAGACCTCCCACAGAAGAATCAGACCCCGCTTCAGAAAGGGAGCGCCTGAGCTTCTCGGTGTATCAACAGAGAAAGCAGCTCTTCCCGGATGCAAATACCTTGAGCGCAGCCTCCATCGCCCCAGGCTGACCCCTTGGCCAGCTGCGCGCCTCCCCTCTCTCCGAACGGTGGTAGCAGCTGCACCCAGGCTGTCGGCTCTTTGCACACAGCTCTTGACCCATATCTTTCAGGTCCAAGGAGAAAACCGCTCTTGAACCTCTCCTCTTCTGCCTCTCCTCCCCTGGCTCACTCCCTCTCGCCAGAGGTCAGCAGCTGGAGCTCTCATATGACTCACATGAGGGCTCTGCCTGGAGCAGCCTCATGACTTCAGCATTTTTTCCTTGTCAGGCAGGAGCGCTGTGTTAGAAAGGTGACTGCTTGCAGGCTGCTGAAAACAAGGCAGCTGACACTGGCCAGAACCATGCAGTTATTATCCCACCTACGAGCTGGAGTTGTGCTGATGGTGTGCACCTTTCTAGTAGCGGGCACTGCTGGTCCCTGTGCTGGTGTTTACCGACATTACAGGCAACGAGACTGACATTATTAGGCTTCCCTGGTGCTGAAGGGACCAGCTAAGGAGCGTTTTCTCCCTACATCTCATCTGAAGGTGTTTTGGTTTTCCTACTTGAAAGCAAATTTGTAATTTAGCCAACTTGTAGTATGCCAGGAAACCACAGAACTCTGAGCAGGAAGGAAGCAGATGATTTTCACCCCACCTCTTTGTCTCCTGGCAGCCGTGTGGAGGGCTGCTGCTCATTCACTCAGCCAGGCTGCACCGGGCACCTGTGCTGTCCTCCCCATGGTGACCACGCAGGGCAGGAGCGGGCTCAGTATCAAGCGTCTTTGTCCCTTCTCCTCTCTTTTTTTCCACATAACCATGATTAACGATCGTTGCATGTAAGGTATTATATTAGTACTTCACACCTCCAGGCATCTAGCTCAAACCGGTTTGTCACCTTGGTTCTTTGAACAGAACTTTTCCTCTCATAGACTCCTAAGACTATTGCCACTGGTATGTGCCAATCACAGTGTGAGACAAAATTGCAGATAGACAGATACACATGGACCTGCACACATGCAAAATCATTACCATGGGGAAAAAATAGAGCCATGTTTTTTCCTTTAGTTTTTCCCCTCTTGTTGTTACTCAGAAAAATCTTTTCAGTGCTGGCGTTGTTCTTTTAACTCAAAGCTAGATAAGAAGAGGCAGTTAACCAGGCAGGACCCTATCAGGAGCATTAACAAAAGGGCTGTCAAGGTGTCAAAAGGGGTTCCAGCCATGGTCCCAATTCAGACAGACCTGTGGACCATCTCTGTTTCTGGTTTCATTCTTGAGCCCAGTTATTTAGCTTCTCTTGTAACTGTTGCAGAACTTCTTGGAATATTCCAGACATATTAGTGTAGAAATAGCAGTTTTCTGCCAGGGCATTACAAGCTCCTCATTGTTGTTCTTGTTCAGATAATGGAGGGGTGACTTTAAGGTGGTCTGTTTCTATCATCATTGGGCACCCTCAATAGAAGGCTATGGACACACATTCCCAAGAGGAGCAGTTATATTTCATTGTGGATCTGCAGCCCGTGTGCCAATATTTTCCTCCAGGGCACAGCTAGAGATCAAAGACCACCAGAGAGGATTCCCCGTGGGGTCCTCTGGTCCCTTTTTGACAAGAAGGTGTCCATGTGTCTGGAATGGTAAAATTGGGCTAAGATCAAACTGGGTCTTTTCTATTCTAGACTTTGGACTGAATTACCTCCCAGGTGTCAGTTTTTAGTAGATGAAACTCAACAGGAGCTTGGGTTGTGACAATTTGATTTCCCATGGTTAAATTAAAGAGTCAGAATGCAAACCTCAATATTAAATGCCAGCACATTAGTAACAACAAGCATTTTCTAATTATAACAATAACTCTAGGCTTTTTAGATGAGGAAGACAGTTTAAAATAACAAGTCTGACTAACAAAACCATATAAAGAGTAAGGAAAAGAGTCTTATGGGGTTGTCTTTCATCCCTCTGGGACAACTGTCCACAAGGCCAAGGCACAGGTAACAGTCAGTAAGAGGATAAAACCAAGAACCAAGAACCAAGCTGGATAACACAACATCAAGTTCATATGGGAGAAAACTGGGACAAACTATCACACTTGGAATCCCAGGAACACTGTCCTCAAGCTCCAGCAATGCGCTGACCTGTCAGCATCCGGAGTGACAAGAACAAGGCTCTGAGAACATTGTCCCTTTCGAGCGAGCCCCAGAGGAGCTGTCCAGGTAAAATTTTCAGCAGCTCTAAGGCTGGATTTGTGAAACTTGTGGAGGTAGTTAACATGTGCCTAGATTATATGTATATGCAGGAATGCCTACAGATCTAGCTAGTCTTTTAACTGGTTACAAACCTTATGTCATTTTGTTTTATTTCTGTGCAGGGCTAATGACACAGATGCCGAAGCCTGAGCTGGCTGCAGGGGTACAGGTACCAGTGCTGCTTCCTGAGCCTGCAGAACAAATGGTAGGTGCAGGTCTGGTTCTGATCTTCCAGAAGTACTGGGTTAAGTTTTTCTGGCTGGGGTTGATGTTTCAATCAAGTGGATCCCTGGAGGAGGCTGAGGCCTCTGGATCAAATTATTTTGCATTGGTGACAGGTTTTCAAACAGCAGCAGAAAGTAGTGGCAGGAGAGCTTTGGCCAAAATAGTTTTGTTCAAGTTGACCACGGCATATCCAGCCTGTTGGACTCCATTCCTAACAGAGTTATTTCCCTCCATAAACAGGGTATACTCAGCATCTGTCAAAGGGGTGTTTTTTTAAAGTCATATCACATCAAGAACAGTTTATCAGACAGTGCCAGATAGTTATGGTTTGTTGAGCCCAGTTCTGTGGGTAGGTATGTGGAAGACTCAGGTGGGGATTTCTGGATAAAAGTCCTTGGTGCTGGGTGAGGTCCAGCACAGCATGTGGTACCTGGATGGTTAGGTCTTAGCCTAAAGGGAGCTTGCAGCTTTCTTAATCAGAAGGATAGCAGCCTTCTGTATTAAGTATTTGCACAGGTAGGCTACTGGGTGCTCCTATGGGCCGACAGTCTGAGTAAGCATCATTGGTTTTGTGAACTCGAGGATACAGATTTTACAGAAGCCAGCAGCTACAAGAAATCTGTGGAGGTTTTTTGGCAACTAGTTTCTGCCAGATATTGTAGCAGAACTTTTGTGTCTTTCCAGCAGGCAGCCTGGATGTCATTCTGGGAAACTAGTGAGGTCAGCTGTTGAGGGCTTTTCCAAAGAGGGTAAATAAGTTTGTGAAGGAGACATCCTTCCAGGCTGTAAGTTTTTGCATAACAGAAGGGGCGAGAGGCAAGAGTCCCACTTGTCCCACTGATGGTAAATTTCTGAAAGAGGAAACTTTTGAAGGCAGAGAATTCTATTCCATTATCTACCAGGAAAGTCACAGATTTGCTCTCAACTTTGTAATGATCACAGACTCTTGGGGCCCAATTTGATAGAGGTTGGTCTGTCCTATCTATTCAGACCCAACAGGGTACAACTCATTTGTCAGGGCTGACAGTCCAATTTTTCCTCAGTCTTTTGTGGAACTCAGAAGAAACTGCTGACAGTCATCTTGGGTGTGTGTTAGGTAATGTCATTTGACCAGGATACGCAGGTAGGCAGAAGGTTCTGGAGGGAGGGCCTCTGTGGCTGGATGCAGGCAATGGTTACCTGGAACCAGTTCAGTTGGCTAGATTCAAGAGCAGAAAATGAAGCTATGGGTGCTGGCAGAAGCTGCAGCAGCCAACTACGATGTCAAGGTGGAATTCTCAGAAAGAATGGATCTCTTTTTCCTTTATTCAATTTATTTATTTATTGATTGATTGATTAATTGATTGATATGAAGGGAGTGGTTTGGTTTCTTTCTTTCTTTCTTTCTTCTTCTTCTTCTTCTTCTTCTTCTTCTTCTTCTTCTTCTTCTTCTTCTTCTCTTTCTTCTTCTCTTTTTTTGGTCTTTTTGAGACAGGGTCTCACTATGCAGTTGAGGCTGGCCTTGAGCTCACTATGTAGTCCAGGGTGGTCTTGAACTCATAATGATCCCCCTGCCTCAGCCTCCTGAATGCTCTGATTACAGGTGTATGCCACCACACCCAGCTTTGGTTTAATTTTTAACTCTGTAAAAGCCCCTTTTCCTGCAGTCAAGGACTGCAGTTTTTAACTAATTAGTTCCCATCCTATCTCCCTATAGCATATGTTATATACCCTTGAATGATTGCACAATAGACATAGGATAAGTGCCTTTCAGAAAGAGATCATTCAGGTGCCCACTTGGCTATACTTCTTTTGAGACTTAGGTGTGGCTTAGCTAAGGAAGAAGCAAAGTCTCTGTTACACCACATGTCAATCATCACAGAGCTGCAGGTAAGGACCCAGTTAGCCACTGTTACCAGTGCTTCCCAGTCTTGATGCACAGACAGAGCAGTCTATCGTTTATGCTGTCTCTTCCACTCAACATTCATTCAGTAGACACTCACAGCTTAAACATTCCAATCCCCCTTTCCCTTAAGGGGGGCCTTAACTAACAAGAGTTGACAAAAATCTTCTGCTTGAACTGAACAGGACTCATAGACTGACAACTGGGGAGCCCCCAGGGGCCTTACCAGAATCAGGCAGGCAGGCAGACAGATTGCATACTCCTTCCTTTGGTGTCCAATGTGAGCTACTTGAGCAGGGAGCCAGGATTCTTGAAGGCATGTCTTCCCATTGGGACCTGGAAAGGTTCTTGCTGTGTCTGCAAGGGCCATAACTGTTGACCAAAGAGGTCAGCATGGTCAGTCTTCTTGGCCAGTGCACCAGATGCGGTGGCAAGCAGAAACACTGAAACAATACCCAGGATTTGGAGGTAGGTTTATTTCCGTTGACAGGCACTGATTAGGATCATTCCCAGACTATCTGGCACTGATCTCTGGTGGTCTAGGGCTTTTATATGATGCACATGCAGGAGGTACAGGGTGAGACAGAACACCCTGGAAGTTCTGATTAGCTAGCAGGGCTAGCTCGTTGCTTACAATGGTAAATTAATGATCATCAGTTTATGAAACTTGGTACAGTGATACAGTCAGGCATCCTGTATGTTTGGTTATGTTATCATGGTCACAGGGATGAAGAAAGCAATTACAAGGCCAGGGATTTAGCTCAGTGGCATAAGTGCCTGCCTGGCAAGAGTGACTCATGAGTTCGATCCCCAGTACCAAAAAAAAAAAAAAGTAATTACAGACCGTGAAGCAGTTATAGAGGTAGGCAGTTTTGAAAGAACAAGGTTTTAAGAACAATTTATCTTGTTTTATTTTTCCCTTTCATTAGCATGGTATTTATAGATATTTGATACCTAAGTTCAAAACAGTTTTCTAAAACTTTCATATAATTATGAAGATATATTTTTAAAGTTTATTTCAGAAGTTCCATAAGAAGAGAAAACCAAAATAAACAAGTTCAAATACTCACTCAAAGCAGGATATGATGGCACACATCTGAAATCCCAGTACTCTGAAGGATGGAGATAGAATTGTAAGTTTGAGTCCAGTGTGGGCAATTTAGTGACTTAGTGAGAACCTGTCTCAAAGAAAAAATATAAAGAGGAGTGGGAATGTAGCTCAGTGTGAAGGCCCTGTGTTCAATATCCAGTATGTTAAAATTAAAAGTAAAAAGATTCACTCAAATTAAGAGTAGGGGGACTAGGGGCTGAGGATTTAGCTCAGTGGCATAAGCACCTGCCTTGCAAGCAGGCGGTTGTGAGTTCGATCCTCAGTACCAAGAAAAAAAAAAAAAAAGAGTTGGGGGACTAATTACATTAATACAGACAAAAAATAGAATGGTAGGCTTAAAACTATAAAATTTTAAGCTGGGCACATATCTGAGGCTCCATCTGACTCAGGAGAAGAGGAGTTAACTTCAACTCCAGCCTAAGCGACATAGTGAAATCTCATCTCAAGAGCTGGGTGTGGTAGCTCATGCCTGTAGGAGGATCGTTGCAAGTTCAAGACCAGCCTTTGCTACAAAGTGAGCTCAAGGCCTGCCTAAAATGCATAGAAGACACCCTGTCTCAAACACACACACACACACACACACACACACACACACACACACACACAAAGAAATCTCATCTCAAAACTAATTTCTCAGAACATCTCATTTCATTAGAATTATTACACTGATTATAACCTATTTTATCACAACTGCTAATGTCTTCCTAAAAGATTTTGAGTTTTATCAAATAAAAGTTCTGTCTTATACCAAGTGTAGATTGACCTTTATAAACCACTCTCTAATTGTCATCAATTTTAGAATTTTTGACTGGCCAGAATTTTTACTGACCAAAGGAATTATATGCCTAAGCCCACGGAAGCTAGAATAGGATAGACAAAGGTGTTAGGGTACAAATTGCTGTACAGATACTAGAATGGGTTACTGAGAGAAAATTGTACAATATCTTTCAGAATTCTCAAAAATTAAGTAATTTATAAGCTTGCTCAGTCAAGGAAAAATATCAGATGACTTTTCAATGTTTTGTAGCTCTGTGTCCAAAGCAATAATTTTGCTCCCAAAGACATCTGAAGAAGACCACTTAGCCAATTTCCTTTAGAATTGTTATCCCTTTCCTGCACCTCTCTGAATCAGCTTGGCTGGATCTACTTCCACAGCCCAGTGAACTTCCTAATGGGAGAAATCCTTCCTGCACATGGGAAACAGGCCCACTGCTGTCCCTGCTTCCTGCAGAGGTAGAACCAGAGCCTCCACCATGAAGCTGACTGAGTGGGAGGGACCCTCGTGCCTGCTCTTCAGCCTAAATGCACTAACGAAGGGTCAGCTGCAGCAACATTCCCCAGGGGCCGGGCGACATCCTCTGTGAGTATGGGAGGTCCAATGGGGCCCACCATAATGAAACCAGCAATGGCTGTGCACCTGAGGTTGGCTCAGACACACGCTCCATTTGTTTGCTCTCTTCTCTTGCCCTCATTTCTACTGCCCTGGGGTTGCACATACCACCTTGTCCCCTGACTCTTCCGGCTGTGCTTCCAGGGAGTCAGTGGTGTTAGTCACTTTCTTTTCACCAGTATAAAATATCTGACACTTAACTTAAAGATAAAATAGACAGAAATATCAAAACAGATCAAGTAAAAATTTATGTGAGCAAAGTTTTATTTGAAAATCCAAATTTAGGATTTTTAACTCTAAGAACAAGGGCACTGCTCAGTGGAACAGGATATGCTTAGCATGCACAAGACTTTGGGTTCAAGCCCCAACATCAAATAAATAAACAAGCTTCACACACACACACAAAATCTGCCAACAAAAAGAACTACAAACAAGGATGGCACTATCGTGTTTTTTTTTTTTAATTTTATTTTGAAAGTAGTAAAAATGCAACAGCACAAGACAGAACAAAGCCAATCGAGACAACGCAGTGAAACTGGTACAGAATTTCACAGTAGGATACTGGGATGGTGGTAATAGGTACTATGGTATATCTCATTAACTTCACAATAGTTGTACAGTCAATTAGGGTTAGCAAAATCAAATCAAAAACAGAACATTAAAAAACCAATTGAGAGTATTGAATAGAACAAAACAAACATAACATAACAAAACAAAACAACCTTGGCCTTCAAACAGAAGATAGAAGGACATCCCCCATATTTGCTATATTGCATATAGTCATCCTCCCAAGAGATGCTGAGGCATCTATCCCCAGTGGGATACTATGGGGTGGGGTGGGGGGTGTTTGAGTCTCAGCCCTTGTGCCGGTAGGCTCACAGGAGCTGCTGGTTCTCTTCCTGGCCCATGCTGGAGGCCCTTACCAAGAAGGCAGGCAAATATGCTACCACCATGGCAGTTCTCAGGAGCGCTGGCTCTCAGGATGGCACTATTGTAATCCAAATATTGTATATTGTAATCCAAATATTGTAGTTCCTTATCCTGTCCTCCTTGTGGCCCAGAAAGTTTATATTTGTAATCCCATTGAAATGTCCACCACCTGCAATACAAGCAAAAGCAAGAATGAAGATACTGACTTTTCACAGCTACAGGGTCCTGGAGCTGGTCCAGGTGAGGATACCTAGAACAAAAGCCTGGATCCAAGGTATCCCTCAGAATTTACTACCTTGTGAAGAAGGGAGGGGCTTGAGGATGAGTGACAGTTAGGTTGGCGGGAATTAGGTGAGTGATGTGAGCTGAGCTGGCCAGGTGGAGAGCAAACACTTTTGCAATATGCAGGGAGGAGGATATGCAGAAAGACTAGCATGCATAACTCAATTAGGGTAGCATCTGAATGATTTAGGAGGTTGTTGCTTCAGGTTCTGACATGTAAACTTTTGTTCCCTGGGAAGTCATGGCCTCTTATTTTGAGGCTCGAACCCAGCTGGCATTCCTGGAGCTATGAGACTCTGCCATCCTGCTCTGCTCAATCATTTATGGGGAACACAGTGTGAGGAAACAGGCAACTGTTGGTTGGCCTCAAGGATTACATACCAGTACCTCAGATAGACCTATTTACATTGCTTAGAACGATTGAAGGGAGAAAGAAACGGCTTAGCCAGCTCTGTACATATCAGTACATGGAAACAGGGCCCGGTTTACCTAACGCAGAGATAATAGTCCTGCATTCAAGAAGAGCTGTCCACTTGGTCTTCTACATGGCACGATAGCAATGAATAACCCTAATACTTAATTTGTGATCTTTAAACATCATATTTTGCTAAAAAGATATATGCATCCACTGACAAATGGATTCTAGATCAAAGTATAAAATCAACAATACAGACTGGAATATTATCAAGAAAGATATCCCAGGTTGATCATAAGTCAGTAACAACCTTGTCAAAAGAATATGGACACAACCTGAAAAGAACTTCACAATAGTCCTTAAGTCCCTAGGATAGGGAAATTTACATACTGGAAGTTAATAATGAACTTGAGCATGGTAACACGTGCCTGTAATTCCAGTGTCCTGAGGCTGAGGCAGAAGGGGCATGGGTTTGAAGCGTGCCTGCACTACGTGAAGAGAACTTGTCTCAAAAATAAAAAAAGAAAGAAAGAAAGAAAGAAAGATTGTATTAGGTCGAAACACATGAAATGTGTAAAATCTATAATTTAGTAATAATTCTTTTTTTTTTCAATAGTGACTGTTGGACACAGGGTTTCACATATGCTACGCAAGTGTTCTACTACTGAACTACATTTGCAGGCCTGTTTTATTGATTCAGTTCTAGTCATGCAATGAGGGCCCCACACTGAGCTACATCTCTGGCCCTTTCATTTTTTATTTTGAGACAGAGTCTGGATGAAACGCTAAATTGCCTAGGCTGGGTTCACACTTGTGATCCTCCTAGCGTACTGGGATTACAGGCATGTTCCACACAATTGGTTCTCTTTTATTTCATTTTTATTTATTGTTTATATTTTAGCTTGGGTTGCAGGTGTAAGCATCACACCTAGTACCACTTTTTAAAATGTTCATTTGGAGGTTTATAGTGTATGAATGTATTATTATGGACACTGACAAAGGAGAAAAATTCAATATTTTAAAAATCTTTTACACAAATTGCTTTTCTAACTTTATCTAATAATCAATGAAAGAAAACTTCTTCCCCATTAAAGAATTCTAGGTAATATATGTGGCACAAAGAATAAAAAGAGAAAATCAAAAATCACTATCAAGCAGTTGCTGGTGCAGTGATAGATCTATATGAATAATTGTCGCTGGGTGGTGAAATCATCAGGGAAAGACTGATGAGAAGCTTTGCAGGGCATCGCCTCAGCCCCACGAACAATCTCAGCATCGCTAATGTAGGACATTCAAACATTATATGCCTCCTGATAACAGGAAGTGCCCAGAAAATGTGGTGCATTTTTGAATAAAGAAATATTAATGAATTCGGAACCTACTCAGGTTTCCAGATCTAAAACCAAGTCACAAGGAATAGGAAGACAGAGAAGTTAAAAACTATCGCAAACAAACAGCCAAATCAGAAAGGAGAAAACTCCAACAAACCAAAGGTATTTTAAAGCAATAGAGCCAGGCACAGCGGTACATCCTGTAATCCCAGTACTTGATGGTTGAGGCAGAAGAAATTGGAAATTTGGGACTAATTTGCACTACAATTTGAGGCAGCCTGAACTACATGGCAAGACTTTATCAAAAACCAAAACAAAATGAAACTAAAAAATAATGAGAAAGAGAGACACTTAAAAAGACATAAAGGACATGATATGATCCCATTTGCTGTTCTTGCTATTTCTTGTGCAATTGTTCTGTTTAGAACATCTTTTTCTAAACCTGTCTCTTCAAGTGTTTTACCTATTTTATCTTCAAGTAGGTTTAATGTTTCTGTTTTAAGTTTTAGATCATTGATCCATTTTCACTTTTATTTAGTATATGGTGAGAGATAAGGGTCCCGTTTCAATCTTCAGCACACAGAGAACCAGTTTTACCCAGCTCCACTTGTTGAATAGGCTTTCTTTCCTCCAACACACGCTTTTAGCCACTATGTCATAGATCAAGAACACATCTGGGGAAGTTTTTGTGTCCCAAGTTTGGTTCCATTGCTCCAAGT